AGCCTCTCACTTACTTTTCACACTCTCAGCAGCCGCAGCAGCAGCCTGAGTGAGGTGTGGGGGAGGGCCATCTATGTTTTTGCGTCTCAAGAGGCAGCTCAGACGAGGTATACCGGGTTGGCATCACCGGTGGTCAGTGTTGAAATCAAACGCACCGCCACCGAAGCGCAGCGAACGCTTATGCTCCCGCGCAGCCGTTAGTGTACTTGTGGTATCAAACTGACACCTTCTCCCTTGGCTGCTCCTGACAAGGAATTTCCTCGTTCAAGAATTAGCTGCACCTTGCCAAGAGCACAGCAGCAATTTGTACAGTTGTGAATAGATTTGATTCTGAGTGGATGAGAGAAAACATTTGTGTGCCACAATAATAGGCTGTTTCAGACGGTGCAAATGCATGGCACTTATAAAATATGAACTATGGCAAAAGAAATATCATCATCTTTCCACTGTCAACTCAGCCTGGAATGAAAGCACAACAGCCACTGAAAAAAAATTACTAAATATTACCAACAATGCAAAACAATCAAGTTGATTGATTGAGAACAGCAACTGCTATTTTGATATTTGGGCTCAGTGAGTAGGGTCAGTTTTTAATCAGGGTATCTACATATTTGAAAAAAAAGCACAAAAAAAGAAAAACCTGCCACTAATCAGCGTGTCTGCCAAGCAACTAATCCAGCAGAGAGAAGCACATTTTCATGTGTCTGTTTGAGCTTATAGCACAAGAATAAGAAGCCGTTACTGCAAAGTAAACTTCAGGATGAGGGAACAGCGTCTGTACATCGACGTGAGATGGAGCAGGGTTCCATTTCCCACTGCTTCATCCAGGAAATCCAACCTGCGATGAACAGGATCAGCTCCTTTATTTACAAGGTGCATATTATTGCTTTGCCATGCAAATGCTTTCAAAAGCACTGTAATGCCATCCTGCTTTCGTGGGGAAATGATCGCTCCACCAGGACAAGCAAGCCAGGCTTTGATGGGTGCAGAATAACGGTGTTAAGGAGCTAAGCAATGTGTGTGTGGGGGTGTACTGCAAATAGGTTATTTTGGATGGGTTTTTTTTTTTTAGAAGAAGAAGAAGAAAGAAGGCATTACTGAGGCCTATTGGTGCACCGAGGTATACTTCCAACCAAGGCGATTAACGTGAAAGGAAATATCTAATGTTATTTTCCACTTCTGTGTAGAGAGAAGCAGAGAAAAGCCTCTAATCACATTATTATTTGTGTCGGAGATCAAGATCAATCAGGGTTAAAGCGTGTCACAATGTTTAACAATGACAATGGATGGTTGCTTGTATAGGAGATACACACCACATTACTGTGTTATACATTATACCTGCATTCTGACTGAATGTACTCAATACACACACACACACACACACACACACACACACACACACACAGAGTTATGTTTGACAACTTTAAATGTGACTGTGAATGTTTTCAGATAATATGAAAAAAGAGAAGGAGTCACCACTAAAAAAAAAGGGTCGAAAAGGCTTCACTCCCCTCAGAGGCCTGAACTGGAAACAATGCAGCTTCTTAACACTAGCAACATGCACAGGCTTGAGAAAACATTCAGCTGCACAAAACTAATTCTACACTACATCCACAATACATAAGAAATGAAAGAACAGCAGAAGAGGGTAAGAAATGGAATCAGTTCAAATAAAGAGTTCACAAAAACTTTGGTTTTTAGGATCCCTCAAGCAAACAGGTAAAAATGGTGTTTTGCTGAGATTCAGATCAAAGTTTTGAGCCGGTGAGCAAGCAAGTGGCGAGAGGGAGATCCAAACTGAATGAATGCATTGGCAGCTTGCGTAGAAAAAGCAGGGAGGCAGGCAGTGATTAACGGAACACTTCAGAGTACAAGGCACAGCGGTGCTCAAAGAAAACAGTGATGATCTCCACTTAATCGCGGAGAAGCCTGGAGCATCTGCCGCCAGAGCAGGGCAGCGGCACCGGCGAGCTCCTGCTCCGCTAGGCTGTGATCTCCAGAGAGCGGCGGCCATATGCTCGGCTCTGCCGCAAACTCACAGGAAGTTAATTTTCTGACAAAACACAGGGATAAATATGACATTCAAACAAGTTGTGCTCAGCCAGGCTGAACACAGATGCCACGCCAAGCTCAAGCTGCACACGTGTCACACTTAGGAACAGAGTTTATTTTCATGCTCCCACAGAAATGCAGACAATGGGTGGTACATTTTCAGCTAGGAGGTGTTAACCTACTTAGAGACTGAGCCATGCTATGTATGCAGGGAGAAAAATTCATACACAAAAACAAACAGACCTATGGTATATGATACTGGCTGGATACAAGAGCTACCAGAAAAACAATCACCGGTGACTACTAATTCTTATCAAAATGTTTATATAAGGCAGCACATGGAGAACTGGAGAGGGATCGTCCTATCTGCAGAACAAACACATCCATCAAAACCCTGAGAAAGTGACAATGTCATTGTCCTAATGAGAGGAGAGAGAGAGACAGAGAGAGAGAGAGAGAGACAGAGAGAGACAGAGAGAGAGCAGAGACATGAGGGGGGTAAAATAAGATTAACTTTCATTTCCGTTCACAGACACAGAACCCCACGGTGCGACATTAAAATAATGTCAGTCAAACCATTAAATAGGAGCTCTGTCTAACCTTGTCTGTTACAGGTGAAATGCCATAGTGGGCCCGAACAAAGGGCTCGCAGGTGTGAGCAGAATCCCAACACCTCTCCACTGGGACGATAAAGAGCAGAATATAGTGTTTCTCAGATCTCGGCAGACTGCTACCACTCCGTTTCAGATTAAAAGGAGAAACAGAGCCTTAGGGGTGAAGCTGGCAGGTCCAACTTACAGATTCTTTACAACAATAGCTGGTATCATATAGTACGCAGTCTGGGGAAAACTGTAGGAGGAGCAGCTTGTCTGGACGTACTGAAGGAAAAAGAAAAACAACGCACACAAGGAGGCAGTAGGGATGAAAGAGGAAGGAGGTGGGTGGTTGGAGGGCAAGGTTTGGGCCTCCACCTCGGGCAATCAGAGGCCAATGGTATGGCGAGAGTGGGAGGAAAGGTTGACGTTAAGATACAAAACCCACCAGGTGCTATTCTCTGCCACTGCGGCTGCATGTCGCCCCTCCAGTATCAGTTGCTTTCGGGCTGGGTGCAGTCATGCAGAGGCCTTCATCAGAGGGGAGCACTTTGGCCCCTGGGCCTCCGTGCTGCTGCCAGGTGGCTCCTTACTCTCTGTGACCCCCACCCTCCTCCCCTCAAAGCATGAGAGCATATGAACTATAACACATCTCTTCTATGTAAGTATTATGTAAGTGCTGGAACGAGGCCAGAGGAACAACAGATAACATGGAAAGAAAACCGATAATTCTGGGAAAAAAAACAGCAGTTGAACACTTCACTGTGGCGGAGAGGAAAAAATGTATAAAGAACACGGCTCTTACCAAATATGTGTTTCTATGTTTTAAATATTGACTTGTGTACTTCCATCATCCAAAATGTTTACAATAATGTTCAAATCCAGAGAAATACCCAATTTTATTCAAGGTAACAGGACCTTTCATTTTGGTCACTTTAAACTGCCTCATATCCACTTTACTCGCAGTGTTGCCCATCTCTGCTTTAACTTGTGGAGCAAACGCAAATGATGAAGGACAGACTACTGGCCAGTCAACCAGTCGGCTGTTTGTTCCTTCCACGCTTTATATTACTGGTAATGGATCATGATCATTCATTCCTGTTTGCTGTGTAACATGAATAAAACTTTATTACATTACCTCATTTGTGGACAAGATTTGCGCCTGAGTGGTAACAAATAGATTTACACAATGCTGGTGAAGACAAACTCTGACGATCCCCCACTGCTTCATGATGTCAAACAAGGTCTTTTGTTATTGTTTTGGTTGAAAGAGTTGATAATTGGACGTTTGAGGAAATGTAATTGCTTTTAATAGTAAACGTCTCCATAGCGATTTGAGTGAAATGAATGAAAACAGATGATGATATTCAGGCCGAGAGAGAGAGAGTGGACTGAAATACTCCTCCTCTTTTTCAATCCATCTATTACAATATGTGGGAGTAAAAAAAACGGAGACTTAAAGTATAACAATGCACTAATGTAACTGCGAGAGACTGGGAAAATCTGTCAGAGATATAATACATCCACTACACATGTGCACGGAAGTACATATCCATATATCAAGTGTTGAGTGGCAATCACTCACCTAGATGCTGTCACACTGCGGTAAATGGGCTTATTTTGCATGGGAAGGAAGAGGGAGTGATGGGCCGCGGTGAGCAAGAGAGGGACTGAGGGACTGAATCAAATGATATGAGTAGGCAAAATTAAGCTCCAATGCAAGTGGAACACTTCACAAGAGAGCCAATTTCAATTCCACAGCACTTAATTTAGGATTTGTATGGTTCAACAGCATGCGACTGTACGGTAGGCATGTAAGGAAAGAGATAGAGACAACCAGCAAACAGCTATCCATACCCTTGAGGTATCCCTCACACGCCTCTCTCCGTCAGACCCTATCTCTCTGTCTCACAACAATGAATTAAAAACTAATGATATTGTACTGCAGAGATTGTGTAGTTCTTTTTAATTGGGCATTATTAAATCAGATGGGTTTTAATGGGATGAGTGCACATTTTTGTGAGTTTTGTGCGCGTCATGCTTTGATAATCGAGCATTTAGCTTTGATTTCATCATTACTGTAAAGACTTTATAGCTGCTTTCAGACATGCAATGAACTCCAGATATCCTCCTGAATTATCCAGAGCAGTGTCCTCCCATAGTCCCCTCCTATTAAAAACTCGGAGCCCTATGTGAGAATACAGTAAGATGTTGTCCAGGGGATTCACCATGAGCGAGTGATCGATGTGATGCAAATGAAAACACATGAATTAATAGGTGTCTGACCCAGAGTATCTCCTGCTGGGTTGTTAAAATGTGAGGAGAATGTCTGAAAACAGTTTACGATCTCCGTACCTGGTGCTCTTTGAAGTCGGCCCTCTGGAAGTCATAGCCTAGCTGGGCATAAAAGTTGTTCCCGAAACTGTAGGCTTGTCCAGTTTGGGTCCATATGAAAGAGTGTCTGCTTCCACAGGCCACACCAACGACATCGACAACATTCACACCAGTGCCACTTCCTGTTACTTGTAGTTCCCGTGGCAATTTAACCTCAACTGGATGGTCCTTAACTTCTCTCTCCCCGTCTCCAAGCCTAGAAAGAGCAGAGAGAAAATACATTTTTGACAGATTCTTCTATATCATTAACAAGACTTTCCAAAAAGGGGAAAGCTGGCTTGACGAATCAATACATTAGTATTTTGTATGATATAAATTATATTGTGTTGATACATGAAGCTTGTTTTTTGAATGTCACGCAGTTTATTGCAGTGAATCATATGTGGAATTGCCTACATTTGACTTTGAATATAAAAATATGCTTAATATCTTTCTACGAATGAGTCATTTTGAGATTTAAGAACAACATAACATGAGATCTCAGTAGATCATTTTTACCTTACGCCACGACAGCAATACCTTTGTGTCGGCTTTGTGGAATGTTTTCTCTACACAGAGTCACATATACAGCATGTCGAAGAGGCATATTTCAGTGAGGTCAGTTTTCCTTCCAGGGGAAGAAATAATAACTCAACCTAACTCAATTTGTAGCTGTACAAATGACTTTACATAGACCTACATAGCTGAGAGTTGTGTTTCTGTCTCTGTGTCCCCAGTGTGAGCGAACAAAGAACATCCAAGACCCCGTTTCAAGATGAGCTGGTCAAACGCAGCCCCAGCACCCCGTGACCTGTGAGCTCCCAGCAGCTTCAAACAGAGCTCTAGTGTTTGCTTCTTGATAAAATGCTCCTCTTTGTATTTGTTTCCCTGAGCCAGCGTCATAACCTGCAATGCCCCGGCCATATCTGCTAGTTTGCGGCATGTCTGGGAAAAATAACAAACGGTCTTCTCCATTATTTCCACAAACGGGGAACGAAAGGTCCTCGCCCGCCATCCCCACGAGAGCCAGTATTGATTACAACAATGCTTCAACTCAAGACAAGACCACTCTGGGGTCACTGCTATTTCCATCAGAAAGTTTGCCAGTTTAAATTTACACATCTCCCTTGTACTCTCCTCCTCTCTCGCCTCCAGTGAGACACACAGGAGAGCTGAGGAGTTTTCAGATATCAGAGTGCCAGTTGTGTAACAGAGCTCACCCTTTGCTCTGGAAGTGGGTGTTGTGGAGCTCCAACTATAGGCTCCTCCAACTATAAGCTCCCCACAAGAGCCTCGACCTGCTTAGAGGGGTCAAAGCATCATGAGAGGGGAGAGAGACCGAGACAGAGAAGCAGAGAGCGAGGAGAAGAATAAGGGACAACGGTGAGGGAGATGGTGAGAGAGTGAGAAGTGATGCCTTTGTTTCTTTTATGTATTTCTCTAAGGGTCTGCTGTGCTGCTGTTTGAGTACCTGAAGGCCACTGAATCACTGCAGCCCCCAGGCCTTAACATGTCATTACAGTCAGACTGGCTCCTGGCTGGAGAAGTTTTAACAAGGAAGCTCATCAGCAGCAAAACAACTGCTTGCTTATAACTATGCCTGTTTGTGTGTCTGTCCATCTGACTTCTTTCTGCAGTTTTATTGTAAAGCTTGTCTGCTGCGTCGACAATGAGGCAGAACAAAATGAAACAAAGAAGACTGAAGTTTTTTACACCTGAGTATCAGTTCATCTTCTTACAAACTACGTTTACATGGACTCCAACATTCCGTATATATTCCCGTTACATGTATTCTGATTAGAACGAACAACATTACATCCACCACGTCTGATGTTATTCTGGCAGATTTTAACAGTTTAAATGTACAATGCTACCATTTGGATGTTTCTTTATATTTGTCCATTAGTCATATGTCGATGTTACTGTGAAAACTCCTATTGGACGTTATAATGCGATTAAGATGTATACATGTCGACATAATGCGACTAAGGTTTGAATACTCCATGTTGATTTAAATATTGCTTATTCTGAGTATGACCTTATTGTGGTTAAGGTCATTTTAAAATGGTATTTATATGGCAGTGTAAAGTCTGACCAGTGCTGCAAGAAAATCTAGAATTACCATCTCAGCATTGTCGACCAGTCAAGTTGCAGGAAATACCGTCATAATCTACCCCACTGCTGCTAAGATCTCACACTGGCCAAACGTGGTTTTGCAGAATATTATAAAGTCACAGTAAATTTCACCTTGTACCTTTAGAATATAATTTGTCCTGTGAAACAATTGTGTGTAATTGTGTCATGATCAGCAAATTAATTCTGGAGTTACATGTATATGGCCAAAAAAAAGTGTACTGTATGAATTGACTTACTGTCCACTGGTGCCATTTCCCCATGCAAATATCTTGTTGTCCACTGTGGAGAAAAGGAAGAGAAGAACAATGATAAAATAAGACATGGATGAAAAATAGCTGTAAAGTACTTTTTAACTGAGGGAACTGCAGTACGGACATGCCTCCATCAACAATCAGGTTTCAGTTTACATCAACATCTGTCCAGACTTCTGCAATATGTGGTGAGGACACTGATTCAAAAAGGAAGTCCATATATTTGCTGAACATTAAGCTGTCACAGTGAAGTTGACCTCTGACCTTTTTGACATATAAAGCCACCACTTCATCCCAGTACAAATTGTGTCATAATTAGCATATGAATTCATGAGTTATGGCCAAAAACTCACTCACTTGATTATTTTTTACCTATGTGTATAGATGGTTTGATACCAGCATCAGAACTACCTGGTGAGTTAGCAAAACTATAAACCGATCCAATACCACAGTGCTAAAGTACATTAGTTTCACCTGCATAAAACCACAACTTTCTAAACCTGAAAATCACTTCTTTGCTGGTCCAAAACATCAGTTGTACTCTACTGCCACTGGAAAGTAGTGAGCAGTGAAGAAGTAGTGATTTCCGGTGGTATAGCATCACACATCATATACACAGTATTGCGCCCTGTTGAACTTCATGAATTGTGATCCAAAATCCAGGTAGTAGGATTGGTATCAGGAAGTAAAAAAAATGGTATCAGAACAGCTCTACTGAAACATAATGCCTCCGACCATGGCTGCTACCAGAGTTATAGAGAAGTGTGGGATTATCGTTTTGAAAAATAATCAAAAAGTGTTCATGTTCAGAAGCTGCAGATGTTTCTCAGTTATAACTCAGGTTGTGTGTGTTTTCCCTTTTGTCCTCGAGTGTCGAGTGAGCGGTGCCATGTCAGTGGGTGGACCCTTCCCCGCTGTGTGAAGTTTGATTAATACAGCCTCGACAGAGAGTTCAGACACTGGGGCCACCTCTCACACACCCTGCTGTAAAATAATGAGCCTTCAGCGGGAAGGGATAATATACATGGGAGGGGAGACACACTTCCTAAGCCCGAGTCCAAGCTGAATATATTCAAATGAAATGAGGAGACGAGGCCATCCTAACTGATTAGACTTGTCTTAAAAGAGAGGGAGAAGCCCATATATTTCTCCCTCTATGCACATGTGTTGAACTGTCACCTCGCTGCACTAACAATCCAACGTGGCATTGATCAATTTGCATATGGTTTCTATAAATACCTGGACCTCTACCTGTTCCTGCAGTGATTCCAGTCATGTTGGAGCACAGACGAGCCTTATTGGTCTTATGGGATCTCAAACACCACAGGGGGAACAGCCAATAGCAACAGACTTTACTCAACAAGCCAGCAGAGTTCTCATGCATTACATCTTACGCTACATGATTTACCTAAGCTTGTCAAAAGAGAAAAATTATCAGGCAAATATGGGGTAATAAATTGTAATCCGTGCTGCATATGTTTGACTCGTGACCCTTGGCATTTTAACAGTTGGGTTGTACGAAAGAGTTGCAGCAAAATGTGTGAAAGGAAATAACGCGATTAGTGAAAAAACATTTGGAAACTTTGAGGAAAATGTGTTGAACAGGTCACTGATCTTTATGAGACGTATTGTACGTTATACTTGATATACTTTAATTATACTTAACTTAAAACTTTGAAATGCATCTCCAAATTCCATATTTTCCATATTTGCATACTTTCCAGAGAGCCTTTTTTCATAGGCTGCCTCCACAGATTTCAGATGGGATCTCGTCCATTTACATTAACATGTGTAATTCAGACATCTTCAACAACACATTTTTAAATCAAGCAAATTTAGATCAAATGCTTGTGTTTACAGTGTATTTCTTTGTTTTTCTTTTTACTCACTTGTATAGTATATATATGATACATAAGTATGGGTGGATTTACATCACTTCAGTATATAGTGAGCATATAGTGTCATTATTTATGTAATTAGCAAATGTCTATGTATAGATTGTACAAAACAATATCACACAATAAACACAGCAGAGGAGCTCCTGCTCAGCCACCAGAAAAAAAACACTCAACAGAACACACAAGTTATGAACTATTACACATGATCAGTTTGTTTTTCTGGTCACAGAAATACTTAAAAAGTACTTTTTAAAAAATCCTTGAATAGAGGAGCAGGGTTTAGAGCATTAAAATACCCTCATAGCTCCGTGGCTGACTGTGAGCTGTGGTTAGTCATGCATAAAAAAAAATACAGAAACAGTGCTGGTGTCCAGGATTTTTAAGTTTACTTTTTTTTTCAAGCATAAGAGTCCTCACTGGGATAATGAAATAAAGATGAGGATGAAAATGCAGTGGGAATTAAGGCGGGGAGTTTTTGTTTTCTTTTGTTCTCGTACTGTTTTTTGTTTTTGTTTTCTTTTGCTCCTTAAACTCTTGAGAATTTTTCTGTGGGAGGATGATAAATAGCAGTGCTTAGAGTGCGTATAACTAAAACAGGGAAATATTGGCAGCTGTAGCTCTGCTGCAACACTCTGCACACAAGCACATTGTTAACAATATCTGTGTTTGCACCAGGCTCGGGTCAACACAGTAAACGATAATAGAATTTATAGCTCTAGATTTATTTCATTTAGAAACACACAAAAAGTGAAAAATGGGGATGAATGTTTCTCCAGCTGGACTTCAGAATAATAATAATAATAATAAATCCAACTACTTTCATCCAATTAGGTTCAAGAAACTACTGCACGTATTCTCTTCGTAGTTCATAAATATGACCAGGTATGTGTATTTATCCACGTATCCAGATGCGTGACTTCGCTGTGATAGCCACCTCACCTTGTATCTTTGAGTCCTCTGTTATCCTCAGAGTGGCAGATGTTTCTACCCCCCTCCAACCCGCTCGTCCACCCACCCACCCACCCCATTTTCCCTCCGTCTCTGCGGCAAGGGCAGCGGCTGGTGCGGGGGCACGGAGGCCGGAAGCGGTGCATCAGCCTGACGTACAGAACTGATGGGCAGGGCTGAGAGCTGGCAGTCTGGCAGGTTGAGTGTTCACCCTCCTTTGCCCCCCACTAGCCCCCTGCTAGCCCCTGCTGCTCTGCACCATACCCGGGCACCAGCATCCCAGCGGCTGGTAACCCATTGCTTTGCTCCCCCATAAAAATAGCCCATCCCATTATTCTTCCGCCTCCCTGGGGGCCACAAGGTCTCCAGCATCATTACCAGGACTAAGGATCTGACTCTGCCACCACCACTTGGCACCCCCCCTCCCCCCTCATCCTCTTCTCTAATTATAGGTCAAGCACTCTTTTTGTAAATTATAAAACCTTTGTTCTTATCAGGAGAACTGAACGGAAAGGAGAGATACCACGGACGGAAGAGGAGCAAAGGAGGCACCGAAAAAGTAGATGAAGTAAGAGGGGGGCAATGGTGTAAAAATAAGAAAGGGGGGGGGGATTTTTCAATTATAAAACCAAGCTAATTTGGTATGACCAGCGACTGTCATGCATGGTGACAGAGCTCCATTATGCAGTCATTTGAGCTCTTTCAAATTAGTTATGTTAATGTCCTGCGTGTGAATGTAACACTTGGATGGGACAAGATTTCAGCAATTAATTTCTACAGTCAGCGGAGAGACAAGCAAATTTATTTTCCCCCTCTCAGGGAATTGGTGGTGGAGGGAGTGAGGAGGGGAGAGAGCATTCTGGAGCAGGGAACAAGCTAAACACAAGACCTAAATAAAGCCTGAACAATGGGAGCCAATGCCTCCTCATTCATTCAATTGACAATGTTTTGCAGCTTAAACCTGTTTTATTAATTATGTTTGACATTTCCTTAATTAGTTTCATTTACACCAAATCAATCCCTGCTGCTGTACAGCGTCATTTATCATTTTAAAAAATTTGCATAGCCAGTGCTGACTTTTTCTACTTAATTATACATTAAAAGTGTCAGCCGCGCTTGCTGCTTGGCATTATCTGAGGCAGAAAGGTTTGTGGCTGGACGGGGGTGGCATTAATCATCAGGGCGGGAGCGGGCAATGGGTGCTCCCAGTCGCCAGCGGGAGAGCTGAGCGGCGCTTCTCATTTTCAAAGCTTAATGCTTCCGGGGCCACAGTGACCTCAATGACCTACGGGGAGAGGCAGACAAATCAGCGACCTCCAGCCCCAAAAAAACAACTACAGCTTGTTTATAAACCACAGTGAGAGGAAGGAGGGACCGTAACCAGGGAAGTGGAAACGCTGCAAGATGTGTAGTCAAAACGAAAAACATAAGGCCAGAAGGCCACAGCATGCAGGTATTAAAGGAGCTATATATACTAACTTATATGTTTAGCTCACACAGATTCCTTTTCAGCTATTCATGTGACATTTAAAGTTATTAGTAATTTAATCACTTTGCCGTTAAAAGACACACCCATTTTTTGTGCACAAGTCTGAAAATAACCTACCAAAAATAAAAAGGGTCTTCAACCCTCTTGATTACAGTCATAACCTTGGTCTCTTTTGAAAGGTAACGCTTTCAATTTTATAACGAAAAAGTCATTATGATTATAAGAGCACAAAAGTTAGAAAAGTACATGCATGGTAGAAATATAAGTTTTTTGGCCTGACTATTTTTGGAGGGCAGATTTTCTCTAATAAAAAGGGAACATAAGGTCTGTAATGGTACCTGTAATAGTACCTTTTGTGCAGAAAAACTATTGCCACAAGTCTGGACCAATTTTATATCAACAGCTGTTGCAGTAATAAGTGTATGATACATTTTCAAAAACTGCTTTCAGGCAACAATCGTCGCCAAACCCAAACCAGGGTGAGTCCATGTGAGGCAGAGGCAGCTGCCTGGAGGAGGCCTTGTCTGGTCAGCTTTCAAATAACGTTGTCTTACAGCTCACAGCAACGTCATACAATCTAGGTTCATAAGGCTTATAAAGAAAACTGTTTGCTATATCATGTGAACGTTGCTGTCCCCTTGGGTGTCCTTTCCAAACCCTATTCAATAAAGTATTGGTTGATAGTCAGGAATT